ATAACTTGTGCTAAAATACCGCCATGAAAAATTACAAAAATCACGAAGCTCTATAGTATCTTAAAAATATACGCCATTTTTTTTAATTTTAGTGTTTCCTGTTTTTATAGGAGTTCGATTGTTTGCCATTATTATTGTTTTATTATTATTACGCCTTGACAATGAAAACGTGTCAAATATTTGTACGTCGGGGAATCCTGACTTCTGGCATGCCAATCTGTTTTTTTTTTGTTTGTTTTTTTTTCATTCTCGTAAGCTTCGAAAATGTCAGTTTTAATATAATAGTTAATTGCATTGGGAAAATGTTAATCTTTCCTTACAATTGTTACTTTCCTAACAGCTTCAAATCATCTTTGCTGCTGCTGATGTCCCAAAATTATGTGGCAATCCAAACATGTGATATATGCGATAATAACTGTGCGTGTGATTTTTTACAGAACTAACAATACCCTTTCCAAAATATCTTTGTTGTTGATGTCGAATGAACATTTACCTAAATAGAATCTAGTCGAGGTCAATCAGATTGAATTATGAAGTGCTACTCTGTGAGAGAATTGAAACTGCATAATCTTAGGTGCTGAATAGAGGGTAGGGAACGATTATTTTATTTTTAGATATTTTTTTTTAATCCTGCATTTTCTGACCTTTAGTTTAGCGCCACTTACCTGTACTTAGTTGTGGGCGTTCAGAGCAACTTGTTCTTAGTTGTGGGCGTTCAGAGCAACTTGTTCTTAGTTGTGGGCGTTCAGAGCAGCTTGTTCTTAGTTGTGGGCGTTCAGAGCAACTTGTACTTAGTTGCCGGCGTTCAGAGCAACTAGCAATAAATATTCAGAATCCTTTTTGTTTAAAATTAGATAGAGTTTCTGCTATCAATCGGAAAGTATTGATAACACATTGATTTCGTATTACAAATAAAGGTTTGAGATATCCTATATTTTTATTACTAGATATATTTTTTCAACCAAAATGTCTTTATTCAAACTGATGCAAAGCATATGCGTTCCGTTGACATGTCTTGTTTTTCATATTTTATTAAAACAATAAGGACACATGCCACAGTGGGTAAAGGCGTTAGTTAGATCCAGTGACAAGATCCAAAGAGTTGTGAATCCAATACCTGGTTAAACTTGGAGAGGTGAATTAACAGGAGATAAGTGTTAACTGGCACCCATTAAACGTGGCACGTGGAACTAGAACAGTCTACCCCAGTGAGCGAAATAAAGGGTTCAGTTTGACATTCCAACCACCTGAAGAAGGCTGGAGTGTACAACGGCTGAAACATTGTGATAAATATGGCGGCAAAGATGGACAATAGTCCGAATAATGTAAATAGTAAAACAATAAAATTGTAAATCATAGGTGAAGATTTTCTTTTTCCATGTGCCATGATTGCTTAAGCTACAATGTTGTTTGATTTCTATGCTTATACAATTTATTCGTCCACGCTTAGAATTTATAGTTCGGTAACCCTGCTATTTACCTTGAGTTCCTTGATAAAATCCAAAGAATCGGCAATATTATCGATTCTGATCTGGCGACTCCGCTTCGGTCATTTTCCCACCGCTGTAAGGTTGCCTCCTTGTGTCTTTTCTATAAATACTTTCATGGTAATTCTTCGGATGAGCTCTTCGCTAAGGTACCTAGGCTTTTGTGGGTCCATGCTTTCCAGTCAATTTTAATCTTCAAGAATTTTAATGCAATGACAATGGCTATCTACTGTCCTCCTGATTATTCTTTTTGTTTGTTCTCTTTCATTAATAATGTTTCTTTTTCTAATTCTTCCATACCCAGAAACCCCATTTTATCTTAGTGGCTTTACTGCCTTGCATGGGGTGAAAAAACACACACACACACACATATATATATATATATATATATATATATATATATATATAAGCATTTTGGCGACAGTTAAGCAATGCTGATTTAACAATATTAACGTTCGGGAGTAGAAATGTTTCACATTCTCGGTTTGAAGTGCTAACCTTCTTAGTGTCGTAAAAAATTGTTGCGATACCAAGTAAAAAATAATATATATAAGTGGATTACGACACAAAATGTAAAACGGTTCGTCGGTTGAATTTTGTCTAGGTTTTTTTTTTTTTTTTAAACTGTTGACTTTTATTCCTCGTGTATGTACGACAGCAAACACTTAATGCATTAGCCAATGTTTTCTCGCAGTAGTAACATGAAGACTTTCTCCGGATGAAAGCAGCCTTGCGACATAAATTTTTGTAAATACATCCAAATTTGCATGTTAATTTGGGCTTCTTGACATTCTGTAACCTTTATCAATCTTTCAACCATTAATTTTAAGCTTTTAACTGTTTGAAAGTATTTGTTTGGATATTGTTTTTCATTCTTATATACACCAAGATTTATATTGTATTAATACCTGGGGAAATCTCCTCCTCGCTCTTTTCCCCTGTTTCTCCGTTCTCATCCCCAGCTTTTTTTTTTTTTTTTTTTTTTGATGAGCTGAACAATAATCAACTTGGCAGAATATTAGAGTATTGTCTTCCATAAATATCCTCTTAATGTTTAATTGTTGTGACCTGTACATTCAAAACAAAAACTCCAAGATAATTTTCTGTATTTATCTTAACGCCCTCATCAACTTTCTCGTCTGCAGTCGCTCTCTCACAGACGTGCGTCGCCTCCCTATTTCTTCGCTTAAATTGTTTTTCATTGTTATATTTGCTTGAATGTGGCATTTTGGTTGCTTTCATTTTCTTTGGTCTTTCTTTCTATGTGCCATGTACTTTCAGAATGTAGACGATCGTGGCTCTCCACCTCCTCTCTATACCTTTCAGCTCTCAACAAGTGCCTTCCCTCTGCTTTCACCCCAGACCACGTATTGTCATCTACTTGCTTAAGTTCGCCAGGTATGTCACGCGTTGTTTTCCCTTGTCTCTCTTTCCCTCTATTCGACACGTGAGTATCAGATTCTCCAGGCCCTCCTTCCTCGTTATGTGTCCCAGAAACATCAGCTTCCTCTTCCTAATGTTAAGTATAAGCCTCCTCCTGGTTTGCATCCTCTTTAAGACCCCATCGTTGCTCACACGCTCGGTCCATGATATCCTTAGCATCCTTCTGTAGAACCACATCTTGTTGCCTGGAGTATATTCTTCATCTTTGAGAAGAAAGTCCAACATTGGCTGCCGTAAAGGAAGACAGATGTCACGTAAGAGCACAGTATTCTTTTCTTTTTTACCAAAGAAATCCTGTTTCGCAGTACTCTGCTCAGATTTTGAAATGTGTCCTTGGCCATCGCAATACTTCTATGGATCTCAGTGTCAAAACGCTTCCCAGATATTTAAACTTCCGCATGTTCTTGATTTTAGTGTTCCCGACCTTCAAATTGCATTTAGGGCTCTTCATCTTACTGATGACGATGCATTCTGTCTTCTTGTAGTTTATGCTTAGTCCTTTCTTCTCATTCTCCGTTGCATGTCCATGGCACGCAGAGGACAACACGGGTGCGTTTAGCACGCAAGATAGTAGTTAAAGATAGCCCCTAACGAGATCTCAATGGTTGAATCAATGATAACGTAAGTGGCTGATCTTCCTATTTTTTTTTGTTTTTAAATATTTAAAAGATCTACACGTTCAATTTTGGAGATTGTGCATAGAGTACTTTTTAATATAACCGTCATCTGGTCTGATCCAATTCTAACTAACAATTGTTTTATATATATATATATATTCGATGCACAATCCCAAATATTGAACGTGAAGATATCTCCCTCTCTCCCTGTCTATAATATATTTATATATATATATAAAAATAAAATCTCCATCCTAATGTGCCAAGTACTACCTACCTTGGTTTCACCAGATAGAATCATCAGGGTGAACTTCATTTTAACTTATTACTCGCTGTTTTTTGTTTTTTCTTTGTACGAGAGATTTAAAGTACTGGACGATTTCTTTCGACTTATTCAGAGGTTTCTGGTGCTTTCTTCCCCCCCCCTTTTTCCTTGGATGCCAGTTTATTTGAAAATTGTGCTATCCAGGTTTTTTTCACCCAATATGATGAACTAACCTATAGTTTAATTTTTTAAAAATCCCAGACAACCGAAGTTAGTGTAAGTATTTGATAAAAAGGAACATTATAAGCGGAAATTCATATGTAATTATGATAAATGTTCCCAACATTGGTTGGTTAATAACAATTTCATTGTGAAAACTTGCAAAAGAATAACTAACGTAGAATGAGTAAACAGAACAACCCACCAAATCGTATCCATTTTAACTTTGAATAGATATGAATCAAGCCATGTCGAAAGATGATTAAGATAACTGACTTATCATCTTTCTATGAAAAACGTCAAAAAGAGGGGAAAGCTAATGTAAAGAAAAGAATGAAAGTAAGATTTCACACTTGGTTGCTTTTCTTTACGTCTAAATTACGAATTCTAAAGGGAAATATCTTCACAAAAATTTACTCGACAGTTAACCATTTATAATTTACATGAGAGGTAAATATTATATTAAAAAAAAAAAAAGAATTTTAACGTGCTATGATCATTGAACGGCGCAGATGTTATCAGTTAATTTAGTGCGATTTATTGCTTGGTTGACATTGTACTTTATCGGATGGTATCTCGAAAAGCTAAATAAGTGAAAAGCAGACGCAGTAAAGCATCCCCTGAAAGGCGATACGGCAAATGCAAGCCCTTCTTCGGCTACAATCGTCCGAGTGTTTACGCATATTTATGGAAATATAGTATGGAATTGCATTTATATTTCGTTGGCTTAGCTTACTCGGGCATTTAATAGATCTATATCTAAATACATTTGACTTGTACATAAATCTATTAATAGATCTATATCTAAATACATAGGAAATTGTTCACACCTAAATGCCCCAACATAATAGTGAACAATCACTTGTCTCCTGATATATCCTTATATTTTTTACTGTTAATAGACTTGAGCAACTTCATCTTTATATTACCAAACTTCTATTATATTCATGCCAAATAGCAATATTTGGCTTACGGCCATATAACGTTGAAACGTCGGTTCCCATACGATCACCGAAGTTAAGCAACGTCGAGCCTGGTCACTAACTAGATGGGTGACCGTTTGGGAATACCAGGCTCGGGATTATTAACTAAAGAGCCGAGTTTCAGCTGGGTCCGATATAATCACATGCCACATTGGGAAAGGCATGAACCCACCTCTTCTCCACTCAACTATGGGTTAATTAGTAAGCCTTGTATCGTTAAGTCACTCTTCCAAAATAATTACAATTTAAAAAAAAAAATTCTGGCTTTAAATAGCCTGGAAAGGGTCGATAAGACGTAGAAAACGAATCAAACAGCCATATTTGGCGATGACCTAAAGTATAATTCTTCAAGTATCTAATTTTCAAGTCCAGTTCTAATTACGAGTGCTACTAGTACCTTATTGTCCAGTACTACATGCCGAATTGTCAGTTCATCAGTAACTAAACTGGTTCTTTTTGCCAGACTTTTCTAGTGAGAGAGGCTAAACACTCAACAGGGTTTAAAAAAAAAAAGACCTACCAAAGAGGCGGTGGAACTTTTCTTTCTTTTTTTTTTTTGTGGGAGCAGACGACGACCAGTGCAGTGATGACTTGTTGGGGGACTTCTTAGGGTGAAAACAGCTAGAGATCAGGGTTTTCCCCAATAGAATCAACAACTATGTGTCCGTGATCAAAGCGTGTTGGAGGATATCGGCTATGGTTTAACCTGGAGAGGGATGGGCTCTCAGGTTTAATTGCCAAACACATGTTACATGAGATTAAATACCTCTTCGGATTTCGACCCAGATATATGTAGGGAACTGGTCAGTTTTTCAGCTCTGCAATGACTTTTCGACAACATTCGATCAATGATGAGGATGTTGTTAGACTTGTAGATTCTTCATCCTAAATTACCAGACTCCACACTGTCAGTGACGAACCTAGGGTTGCTGGCACACCGGACAAGCTGAACTTCGGCGCCCATACAAGTATTTTAAAATGTTCACAAAGGGAAATATTGAAAATGTAGAATAACGAGGTTATTACAATATACAACTTAATACAAGCTAAAGAAAACATTCATTATCCTTCTTAAAACATTTTTTCTAGCCTTTAGATCTGCAAATCTTTTCATGGCACTTTCTATACCTATCTTTTTTACAAGATCATTACCTGTTGACAAAATAACCAAAGAATTTAATCTGTCTTGAGTCATGGACGACCACAAGTATGTTTTTATATGCTTTAGTTTTGGAAGATCACAAACACATGACATGGTGGTATGATGGCGTCCCGGGGCAATTACACGAGTTGGTGGTGACAGCGTGTAATTCTTGACATATTCATTTTGCATATGCTGCCTGCAATCTGATTTTAAAAAAAAAATAAATATTAGAATCTGTCTATCCATGTGAATCCTTTTTGTTATTATCACAATGTTTCAGCTCTTATGCTTTCTGGCATTCTTCAACTCTTTGTCGATTAAAGTAAAGTTGAGCCTTTTTTTTTTTTTTTTTTTTGTGCCATACGTGATACATGCTTTGGTGATTCTGCATCTTTCGATACATGAGTAACAAGGCAGATTTTTTTTTTTCCTGCGGTAGGTTACAAATTTCTTTCTGCGGTAGACCAGTTGCCATCCAAGACTATAGAACCCGGTCTGTCCTGCTATTTACCCATCTCTGGGGGGAAAGGAGTCGTACCTTTCCCAAGGGTATTAGCACGTAAGTGAATGAGAGGATTAAAACATTGGTTCCTGAATTTATTAGCCTAGTAATTGCGAATTCAATCATTTTGTCATATGTTAAATGCTTCTTTAATGCTTTTGGTATTATTGTTTGACATTAACATACAGTTTTGTTGCGGGCATAGCTGCACATTCTTTTGCGGGCATAGCTGCACATTCCTTTGCGGGCATAGCTGCACATTCTTTCAAATCCATTATTTCATTATTTGTGAAAAAAATGCATATGAAATGTTCATGAGAATTCAAAGGAATACGGTATTCATAATTATTAGAGGTGGGGTAAATAATTCTGACACCAACTTTATATAAGTTGTGTATTGTGTTACCAATCTCTCTTTAATACATGTTTCGTTAAGCAAATCTAACAAGGTACATTTGTTTAGTTCTTTTATGTTTTCTTGTATGCGTTTCCTTTTCTTGACTTAATCAATGTAAAAAAACTATCACTTTCATCCCAGGCGCTGTTCGTTAACTGAGTAGGCATTTTCAATGATTTTTTTTTTCGTTGTTGCTGTTAGATTTCTATAACAAATTGTGTGAAAATGTTATTGTAGACGGTATAAAAAGTGCTAAAATTAAACATATTCTTAATATTTAAATACGGCCAGTATATTGTGGCTGTGTTTATAATTGATCTTAATAATGGTTGGTTTCTTTTTTTTCTTTTTTTTGTTATAACTAGAATTTTTTTTCAACACGCTAATGAGTGTTAAAATCCTCACATTAATATTGTTTGAATTTATCACTATCTCTACGTTTCGTTCAATTTCGCAAAGCAATCGATGAAATTTGAATAAGCTGATTTATTTGGAGAATACTTTGACAAAACTCTACTTCGGTTTAATCATTTCTTTTATAGGATTTCATGTTAAACAATTTTTTACGAAAATGTATTTTTTCCTTTTTAACAGTGCAGAATAAATTCATTGGATTTCTTACTCTTGACTATGCAACATACAATTGTTCATGCGTAATTATTTCTTTCTGAAGCCAAATTCCAACTTATTGAAGTATTTGGCTTTCTGATTTGTTTATAGTTCTCGAAAAAAGCAAAGCGTACTGAAAATTGGATTCTTGTATATAGAAACTTAAAGAAAAGTATACAAAAAAATAATATTACATCTTAAATAATGATTTTAATTATTAATTTGTTTTTAAAATAGTGGGAGTATTTTTTGTTTGTTAAATAAAACTTGTAATTTTTCCCCAGAATATTAAAGTTTATTGTACTAAGCTAAGCACACTAGTAAAACCAACTGTACTTTGTACCCCATTACCTGTTTGCACTTCTCAAAGTTTGGTCTCAATATGTGGCTATTTTAAAGGATGTGACGGGCGGGCTAACGGAGGTCACAGAATTATATATATATATATATATATATATATATATAAGGAGAGATAATCCATCATTTTAAACGTTTCAATTTTTTCAGCTGGAAGTACGTATAATAGTATAACATACTATTATTATAGGTATGGTCAATAAATCGCCGGAAAAATGAGCATAGCAGGATAATTAAAGGCCTTAAACTTGACGAAAATAATTTTTATTTGTCTAACTGTTTATGTTATAATAAAGAGGAAAGATCAAAGTATTTTTTGATTTATTTTTAAAATTTTTTTCTCATTTTGGGCATGTCCAAAATTGTCGTTTAAAAATCATGTTTTTTTTTTTTTTTTTTTGGAAAAATCGATCGTCAGCCATTTTTTTTTTTCAATTTTATAAACAAAAGTTAATTTTTCCGTTTAAAATTCTGCCAAAAAACAGTTACACATTTTAAAAAATTTATCTTTACAAAATTTAAAATTTAAATGTTTATTTAATATATTTTGAAAGAAAAAATTACTTACTTTATGCGCTGAAAAGTGTACTTTAAAAAAGAGACAGCGGGTCTTAACAGCAGCGACACATGACGAGGTGTCGATAGATGTTGTCATCAAGTATTGACAGCTTACGCGCCCTTGATTCATCGTACAGATGTACAAAAGGGATATAATTTAGGTTTTGTTTTAAACCAATTACGTAACCAGTTATAAAGCAAAAAATTCAGCGTTCTAATTTTTAATTGTTTTTAAGCTGTCCCATCGTTACGTGTACGATGCATGATGGAAATTTTTAAACTGTTGCCAGTGAGAAAAGATTTCATAAGAAAGGTGCATACAAATTAATCTAATTAAATTAAATTAATTAAATTAATTAATTAAATTATTAATTTGTATACACCTTTTTATGAATTTTTTTTATTTATATTATATACTAATTATTATAACTGAGACAATATAAAAATAACAACATATAAATTAATCTAATTAATTTGTATGCACTTTTCTAATGAATTTTTTTTAATTGTATGTACCTTCCCTATGAAAAGCTAAGTGTAAAATATAAATATATACATTTATTATATTTTATGGTATTATTTGTATTTCCCTTCATTTTATTAATTTAGATATTTTATATGGAAAAATATAACTGAGATAATATAAAAATAAGAACATAAATTATGTACATAATACTTTTGTACCCTTATTTGAAATATTACACAATTTTTTTTTAACTTTTTCAAATTTCTTTAATGTTAAATGACTCTTGAAAAGGCATTTTTTCTCATAATTACATAAACATATACACTTTATTTTATTTATTCATAGCCAAGTAAGAGGTCTACAGATGCAATGCAATTCGTATCAGACTTTCATGAAATATTTGTGGCCCTTAAAAGGGCCTTTGTTTTTTGCTATTTTTCCCAAAGCTGGGACCCTAACAGGTGCTACCACTCCGGGCCAGAGTGGACCTGGGAACAACAGCAATTCTTGGTTTGCACCTTCTCACAAGCTTGAAGCTCCTTCTTCACTCTGCTGGAAACTGCTTCTAATGTGTGTACATTGCAATTTAGCTCAATTAGGTGTGTCCCCCACTTTCTCCAGTAAAAAAACGGTCAAGTGGTTGACTGGAGCCCGGTCTGTCAAACATTTTATTTTAGAGATAATTGATTTCCGGCAGCTGTCAGCATTCAAACCAGATGATAGAGAATATACCTCAGCCAAGATCTTAATGGCAGTGTTGATATGGCTTCTATAATCTTCTGCAGTCCCACCAGGAAGACGTTCTATCGACACAAGATGAGAGGATGATGGTGTTGTGAACATCACACAGTTGACATGTATCCCATCTTGTGTTGTGGCATCAAACAGCAGGCTGCAACTTTCTGATCTTAAAATGTGTTCAACAGTTTTTAAGTCAGAAAAAAATCCCAGTTCGGTCATCATGCGGTAAACTGTGGTCACAGAGTTTATGCAAAATTTTGGTTCTTGCAGGACCATAACAAAGTTTTGCAACAGTTTAGGCACATTCCTAGCAGCCA